CTGAAGGATCCGGTGACTATTCCCTGTGGACACAGTTACTGTATGAACTGTATTAATGACTTCTGGGATGGAGAAGATAAAAAGGGAAAGTACAGCTGTCCTCAGTGCAGACAAATGTTTGTATCAAGACCCATTCTGGTGAAAAACATCATGTTAGCAGATTTAGTGGAGGATCTAAAGAAGACTGGACTCCAAGCTGCTCCAGCTGATCACTGCTATGCTGGACCTGAACATGTGGCCTGTGATGTCTGTACTGGGAGGAAGATGAAAGCTATCAAGTCCTGTTTATCCTGCCTGGCTTCTTATTGTGAGAATCACCTCCAAGCCCACAATAATGTCCCTGGATTGAAAAAACATACATTGGTGAATCCCTCCAAGAACCTCCAGGAGAACATCTGCTCTCGTCATGATGAGGTGATGAAGATCTTCTGTCGTACTGATCAGCAGTGTATCTGTTATCTCTGCACTATGGAGGAACATAAAGGCCATGAATCTGTCTCTGCAGCAGCAGAAAGAGCTGAGAAGCAGAAGGAGCTCCAGGAGAGTCGACAACAAATCCATCAGAGAATCCAGGACCAAGAGAAAGATGTGAAGCTGCTTCAACAGGAGGTGGAAACCATCAATGTCTCTGCTGATAAAGCAGTGGAGGACAGTGAGAAGATCTTCACTGAGCTGATCCATCTCCTCCAGGAAAGAAGCTCTGAGGTGAAGCAGCAGATCAGATCCCAGCAGGAAACTGAAGTGAGTCGAGTCAAAGATGTTCAGGAGAAGCTGGAGCAGGAGATCACTGAGCTGAAGAGGAAAGACGCTGAGCTGGAGCAGCTCTCACACACAGAGGATCACAACCAGTTTCTCCTCAACTCCCCCCGACTGCCAACACTCAGTGAGTCGACACACTCATCCAGCATCAACATCCGTCCTCTGAGACACTTTGAGGACGTGACAGCAGCTGTGTCAGAGCTCAGAGACAAACTACTGGACATCTTGAGAGACGGATCAAAAAACATGCCACTGAAAATTAATGATGAGGATGTTTTAGTACCAGAACCAAAGAGCAGAGCTGGATTCTTAAAATATTCAACAGAAATCACTCTGGATCCAAACACAGTCCACAATATGTTGTTGTTGTCTGATGGGAACAGAAAAGTAACACGACTGGAACAACAACAGTCTTATCCTGATCATCCAGACAGATTCACTTATTATGCTCAGGTCCTGAGCAGAGAGAGTCTGACTGGACGTTGTTACTGGGAGGTTGAGATTAGAGGAGAAGGGAAAGCAACAGTTCATGTAGCAGTTTCATACAAGAACATCAGCGAAGGAAGATCAGATGAATGTTTATTTGGACTTGATGACCAATCCTGGTCGTTATATTTTGACACAAACAGCTACACATTTTATCACAACAACACTAAAACTCCAGTACCAGGTCCAGTTTCCTCCAGAATAGGAGTGTACCTGGACCACAGAGCAGGTATTCTGTCTTTCTACAGCGTCTCTGAAACCATGACTCTCCTCCACAGAGTCCAGACCAGATTCACTCAGCCGCTTCATGCTGGGATTTGGCTCTTAGGTAACAAATCCTATGTTGAGTTCATTAAACCTAAATAGTCAGCAGTGATCAAATGTCCAGTGGTCTGTGTGCAAATGGAAGAAATTATTTTTGTTGAATCCAATATGGCCGACAGACAAAAAAGTATGCCAACCTACCCAGTCCCTCCTTCTGCTGTAGGATGTATCTGATGTCGACAAAAAATATTGTGGCATCAGATAACCCCTTAAAGAACTATACTACTGATGTATTTTTCAAATAACTTTGTATTTGGAGAAAATTGCAATTGATAACCTAAAAAGAAAAAAAATAATAAAAAATTAATTTTCAAAGAAAAAAATTTCCTGCCTTTTTTTTAATACCTTAAGAAAATAAAAGAAATTGGGGGAAAAATCCTGACACAAAGGATCATAATTCATGCATGAAAGGGTTAATATTAATTAAATAAAGTTAACACAATTCATGTCTGTACAGGAAAAACATCAATCCGATTGGAAGAATATAAAATGCATTTTTAAAATAATTATAACAAAGAAGAGCAGCTGTTTTTAATCCTGAACAGTAATGGGTCTAGAAAACGTTGAGCTAATGCAGTAGAGCAATGCAATGTAGTCTAACTTGAGATGTTACTAAACATCTCAAGTTAGACGAGAAGATGTTGTTTAGTGGGATATGAAGATACAGGTTGGGTTTTTTCAATCTGTTGGTGCCACTCTTTAAAACTGTACATGCCGTGACCACAGGGAGCCCCTAGCTGAAGCAGAGGGGGCAACCACACTCATGGCCAACTCTACCATCCCGGTTTCAGTGCACGTTATTGTTAGTGACCTTCTGGTGACCCCTAAGAGCCCAAAATTGACTGAGGATCCTCCTGGGGCCCCAGGAGTGGACTACGAAGGCACAAGTGGGCTTGTTTTGATTGCACAATCTCTTTAAAGTTGTACCTGGTATAATTGCGTTGGACCCTCATTAGTTCCACTCTCTCACCCCACAAACTTGATTCATCTCCCCTCTCACCACTTAGTCTCCTTCACCAGTAAGAAACTCAGTTTCTCAGTTCCATATTTTCTTGTCATCACTAACCTACCTCTCCTCCTCAGCCATAACTGCTCCCAAACCATGGAAGAAAGAAAATGTTTAATAAATCTTTCATCATTTTATGTGCTGTTTTCAAATAAACATTTTTCCTTTAACAGGTTTCCCATACGTCATTCTGCATGTGAATAAACAAAACTGAACTCCAACATAACCAACCTGCAAAATTGGCCTCCGATTTAAAGCTAATACTGGCATATTCAAATTCTATTATTAACTGTTTAATCGTGACTGTAAATTAATGCATCTGTTACAGTAAGATTAAGATTTTCAAAAAGAAACCTGCTTTTGTTGATTTCATCTCTTATTTATGTAACACAAACACCAAGTTTTATTGAGTTCAGAGTCCTCCAATACAAAACTTGCTCAAGTAATAGTTTACCTGCAGATTTTTACTGTGCAGAAAATGTTTTACTACTAAAGAGTTGGTAAATTATCTCACACACGAAGAATACCAACACTACTTGTGCTGTCCTCGCCCTGAGTTTTCGGTCTTTTCAGCCGCTAGACAGCCAGACAACGACGCTCCAATAACCAAACTTCTTTCTTTTTTAGTTGTTTATTGAAGAGTGGCCTCTGACCACTACCATCACTTTGACCTACAAGGCTTAATATTAGCTAACATAGCAAAATAGCCGTTCTTACTATGAGCTAAAACGAAAAACATTTTCCTAAATGACTTCAGCATACAAATTACTTACACCAGCATTACATAAAACAAAGAGACACTTATTATTTTCACAATTAATCAATACGGTAACACTTTATTTGAAGGGGGTTGAATAAGACTGACATGACACTTTCCATGTTGACCATGTTCAACGTCATATTTATTTCTTAGTGCATCATTGCTCCTACAGGTTACACTAACTGTAAGTAGTGTGCTGCCTTTTGTGTAGTTAAGCTGGACCAGTAAGATTTTGAAAACCGCACTAGAGCACCCCCTGGTGGATATTTTTGTTATGTTGCCTTTGTGGCCCTAAAAGAAAAGAAATAGACCCAAGAAATCATTACTGATATAAATTTGTT